CCTGGCCTCTAATGCCTTCTAAATTCTTATTTCTTGTATAGCATTTTCATTTGTGCATCGGCCACTCCTTCAGATCCTGAACCCGCTGCGAAGGTCATGGCATTTAGACATCAGGCACAGATAAAGTGAGGCCACGGTTTGGCCAAGCTCAGAGAATGAAAATAATTAATTTCTAGATTTCATTATATAATGGCTTTCACTGAAGTGTGGGTTTGACCTATGGAGACAAATTCTGCCATTTCCGAATTTCCCCCTTTTTTTGAAACCTGCATAATCAAAGCAACTTAATATCCTCTAAAAGAATTTGCTTCCAGCACTATTCATTCTATTTTGTAAATATTCCTTTCCAAAATGTTAGCACTTAACACAGGCTAGGATTCTGTAACTGTTCACCTTAAGAAATCAAGAGACCTATCAATTCTTGGGAACACTCATTTATTACATTTAGAAGGGCAGAACCACAAGAATATCAATCTCCCTTGAAACCAATTTTGTTTCAAAAGACACTGCTGAGAGGCTCACAGTTTTCTCATTCATGTAAGTGTGCAGCCATGAGCCGTGCACGTTAATAACCCCTGAGCTGAGAGGATGCATTTTGATTTACAAGTATTTGTTGTCTGCTGAGCAAGACAGTGTGCTCACTGGGCCTTGGTCAGAAGTCACTTCTGAGGCCCAGCAGCAGTATCAATAGCACTGGTGGCGAGTGGGAAGTGGTTGGGGCGGGTCCAGCCAGTCCGCCAAAGTTTCAAGCTCATGCATTCTCACTGATGTGCACGTCAAGGATGCCTTCTCCTCTCTGTGGCAATATCTGTAGTGACTGCTCACTGCTGGCTGGCATCTTAGGACCTCTGGTCAATTCCAGTTGGTAGCAGGTTCCTTTTGAAGGTCCTGTCCACTCATGCTCCCTTCTTTGGGTACTAGCCCCCAACAAAAGCCCTCATTGAGAGGGCTGGCCCAGGGAACCATGCTCGTATTACATGACCTTGCCTCCTTGTTGTAGCTGGTTGGATAGATACCTGACCCAAAGAAAGTCCAAACTCCTTTCTGGTGTGTGGCTGAAGGAATGGATTAAGTTTAACTTCTGTTCTCACATTTGAAGATAATATCTGTTATTTTATTTATTAAACACTGAATACCTGTGTGTTGTGTAGGGGGAAAAAAGCAGCTTATTTATCTGTAATCAATATTTAAATCTTTGATCCATTTCCCAAATTTCTGCCTGCTAGAGAAGCATTTCCTTTAGTCAGGTATTTAAATACCTTTGCACCTCCATCTACACTCTCAGGAGTTGTTGTTGTTTTTTAATCACAAATCTAACAATATTCTATCCATTCTTCCATCAAGATTGCTCAGAAATTACATGTCCTTCTGTTGAATTCCTAAATTAACAAATGTACCATATAATTTGTCTTGGGTCCAGAGAATGGAGTCTTACATAATCCAGTCTGATTTGCTCCACTCGGGCTGCCATAACTAAGTACCATAGACTGGGTGGCTTATAGACAACAGACATTTACTTCTCACAGTTCTGGAGGCTGGGAGTTCAGACCAGGGTGCCAGCATGGTGGGGTTTTGTTAGAGACTCTGCTGGGTTGCAGACTGCCAACTGATTATTTTATCCTCACAGGCAGAAAAGAGGGCACCTCTTTTCTAAGGGCACTAATCCCATTCATGTGGACTCTACCCTCATGACCTAAGGACCTCCCAAGGCCCCGCCTCCTAATACCATCACATTGGGGGTTAGGATTTCAACATATGAATTGGGTGGGGAGAGGGCACAAACATTCAGTCCATAGCACACCATGGAAGAGGCAATTCCCGCTCCAGTAACACTGCCATCTCAGATCACAGGTACCAGGACACACAACGGACGTTGAGACATTTTCCTAAACCTCGGGATTGCCTCCCCAACACAGAGCACGGAATCTGCTGCCTCCCAGTGACAAGCTGTCATGGCCCCTCTGGCTGCCTGTTTGGGTCCATGGCATTGAGAAGAATACAGCCCTAGTCTTGAGCAGCAGTTGAGAACACCAGTTCCTTGGCAGCATTCTCTAGGAAAAGCCAAAATGCATCTCTTTTCAGACTGCAGGAAACTCACGTCAAAACGAGTTCCAAAAAAATGTTTATTATGCTACAAAGGCATTGTCCTCTTTACACTTTATCTGAAGTTCTTTACACATTCCATCATCTGTTTTCCTTCACAGGAACCTAGGGAATGTCTCAGATGACCCTTGTCTACTTTTTAAACCTCCTAGCATAGTTCAAGAAACCACAGACAAGCATGCGGGCAGCATGGTGAAATGGGAAGCAAGTTGGGTCATGAATCAGCAGGCTTGGGCTGGAGCCCTGGGCAGATCACTCCACTTCTCGGAACACTGCTTCCTTCTCCAAGGTCACCACCGTCTTGCGGCTTCTCCGACTGTCTGGAGGGTCATGAGGACCACAGAGCCTCTGGGCTCTCATGGAACTCTATTTTAACTTCCACGAGGCACTTCTGAACATTTGCCTTTTCTCTGAGCCAGCTTTCCAGGTATGTGTCCCGTCCATGAGGTCAGAAGGCTCTCCAGAGAAGGGACCCCATCTTAGTCACAGGATGTCAAACAATGGCGGCTGTCAGCCCATGGGTGGGAAACCATGGACAGACTGACCTCTTTTCCATTTAAGTTTTTCCTCCCATGTACTTTTTCTTAAATTGGTGGTGTCTAGTTTAAGGGAGGAGTTGATTAAGCATGCTGCATGTTTAGTTGTCTCAGTTGACTAATTCAATATTTCATGGGTTCTGTAAAGACTGCAACGATTTGTTTCTCAATCTCTTAGCAAGCTGGGGCCGCAGGCTCGTTCTCTGTAAGTTACTGGCACATCTACAGCTCAGACACTGTCTCTGAAGCATGTGCATATATTTTAATTACACTAAGGTCTTAAAACTTCATTTCCACATATAACATTTCCAGGCATTTACCAAGCAGACAAAGTACTGGGCTGATGTCATTGCACTGATGAAAATATTAATATTATTGATAAGGCGGGACAATGTAGCTGACTCTATCAGACTCATACCATTTGCATGAAAAGGCTGAGTTTCTTTGGCTCTTTGTTCATTCAAGTGCATTGAATACCAATTTAGATAGACTTAGGCATTGTGTTAATCTGTCGATAAAAATCTTACACTGTCCATAGGGTTTTCCAAGCTGATTTAGGTTTTGGATTACAACAACTAGCCATTGGTAGAAATATACCATATATATACACATGGAAATTACAAAAATACATTTTATTTATAGCTGATTTTTTTTTTTAAGTAACAAAAAGCTAACACTATGAAAGATCAACCAGCATACCAAAAGACTCTACCTAACATCATCCGAACAAGAGGCTTGTTTGGGAATTCCATGACACGTCCTCTCCGGAACATCCCAGAAAGAGCAACTGGCCATTGGGAAATAAAAACCGCTTCTTTGAAAAGTCTGTGCTTTGACAGTCGAATCTCTCATTCTAATCAGTTCCACTCCTACTCTTCTCTCAACATTGAAATTTCCACCTTCTCTCAGTAAAGACCAAAGAAACTCGTGAGGAGAATGGAAAGATGGGCTCAGGGAATGGAGACAGCTGAAGCGAGATGGGTGTTGGGTGAAGGTAGGACAGGCCCTCGTTCTCCAACAGACGCCAAGTGAGCCCTCAGTGTGGTGAGGGGACCCGCGTTTTCTCCCCGAGGCCACCTGAATGAGGTCAGCAGCTGTTCGGCTTCGCGCTGACTGTGCGGCAGGTGACTCGGGGCTGGGAGGCGCTGCCCACCCAGAGCTCTGGAGGCCGACTCGCCCTGGCAGGGCAGGTGGTTCGCAACATCACCCTCACAAGGTCAGCAGCCCGGCCATTTCAGCGAATGTCCTCCAGTGTCCATTAACCACAGGGGGCGGGGGAGGGAGGGGACTGGCTACCTCCATACACTTTTTAAAATGTTATTTACATTTAAACGTAAATCAACCGATTTTCTACATTCAGAAGCTGCGATAAACAGAGGCTGCAGGCTGGGGAGGCTGGACCCACGCTTCCTGCTTCTAGCAGGCATCAATTACTAGCTCCTTTTGTGTCACTCGGCAGCCCAGGCTGGACGTCATTGTTGAAAAGACAGAGATGTTTCTCATAAAATCAACGATGTGTCTCTTATCCCAATAGAGAGAGAAGCTTCATTCTCAGGCCACCTTCATCACAGGGCAAAGAAAAAGCTCCACCAGTAACTGCTTTTCTTTTGGAGGACCCCCAAAGCTCTTAGCACCGCTGCTCTTTCAGCGGGATCCCAGCTCACAGGCTACTCCGGTTCCAAAATAACAACACCTTTTCAAAAACCTGTCAACACACACCAACCATTCCCTCTCATCTTCTCTCTTTCTTGGCCTCTGCTTAATGGGGGGTGGGGGAGAGGTACAGTCATTGACAGCACTGGTTTTCATCCGATGCACCTGACTTTGAATAGCAATCTCTAAAAGAAAAGGACTCAGGTTTCTTGCCTGGAGTCAGTGCCTCCCTTCCAGACTGGAGGTGATCTTAACGAGTACAGTCACGGCTGAATGAGAGAGAGTACAGTCTGGTGCGTAATCACACGCCTGCATTGCCTTTAACACAGAAACAGTTAACATGCAGGAGTCACCAAAGATAGAGCTGTGTCCTCCACCTTCTGGCGACTTGTTGAAATGTGGCTTTGGACAGGAATCTGCAGATTAGTGTCTCTCCCGCCTAAGGCTCCCTAGGGAAATACACCGGCAGTTTAAATACAACAGAACATCGAGCATACGGTCCCAAGCAGGGACTTCTTGACATACAATCAGTTGAATAGGCCGAGAATCCAGGCGTTCAAGAGTTTCCTGTTTCCCAGAAGCCCCACGGTTCACCTTTTCAGAAACGAAGGCTGAGGAAGACTCACTCACTGACTATGCCTCAAGTCCCAACGCATTAGGCTTGAGAAGCCCGAAGACTGTTTCCTCAGAGTCTGGAAGCCCCCGGGGCTAAGGCCTTAGACCTGGAACTCGAACATGTCCGTCTGCTTCTTGGCCAGCTTGGCCACCTCTTCCCGGATGGCCTTCACCAGGGCCGCTGTGGAGATGTTGGTCAGGGGGGTGTCGGGAGGGTCGTTCTCTGCCAGGCTCTGCTGGGAGGCCGCCGCGGAGGGCACAGGGCCCTGCTCCAAGCTGGGGTGCATGCCGGCCGGCTGGCTGTACTGCCGAGGGAGCCTGGAGGGGGAGTTCTGCTGGTAACGTGACCGGGGGTAAGCCTCGATGTACCCTGGGAGAGGGACCTGCAGAGGATGTTGGGAGACAGGGGAGGGGCCTGGGATTAGGAAGGGGCTCAAGTCATAGCATGCACCTGACACTAGAGGCAGGAGGGAACTAAGGGCAAGGGAAGAGATTCGGAAAATGGAGGCCACATACCACTGTACAGATACAAAACCTGCAGTCAGATTGGTTAGAAAGTAGGTAATTTGAATATTCTCACTGGATATGCTGGTGGGAACATACCTGTGCCTACATACGAATCTACGTGGCTACCTTTTTAATATAAGCAGAATCCAGCAAACAGAAATGTTATAATCCAAAATTTATAGTATTTTGGAGGTATTTGATGGGGGAAATAACCCTACAAGCCACCAGGGACCATCTTACGGATGTCATTTTAGTATAGAGAGGCATAATAATGATGCTGAATCATTGGCTAAAGACAAATTCAATTATGCTCCTCTTTTAAAGAAGAAGGCGGAAGGATAAAATTCATTCCAGAATTTTAAAAGTGCAAGATGGCGTATATTTTAAAACATTTTAGAAATTCAAGGGGTAAGCTCTGATCACCAGGAAAATTAATATATGTAGAATGACTTCATCCCTGATGATGTCCCTTAGATGAGACGTCGCTACAATAAGAACAGACACTAACTCTGAAGTTGAGTTGAACCTGTAGGGGTGGCAAGTATGGACCCAGGCCTTGGGTGTCAACATGTTTCCTAACTCTAGAATGCTGAGACCAAACCCTAAAGTGGCATACAGAACTGGGTGCCCTCAGGGCCAGCCCGGAGAGCCAGTTTTTCTTTCTTTCTTTTTAATTTAAATTGAGACAATCTTTCTTATCCATGTTGGATGGACTCACCCAAAGGGGGCTCCCCACTCTAAGGGCCATCCATGTGCGGTTTTTTTTTCCCTTGGGTTTTTTTGTTTGTTTGTGTTTTCCACTTAGCAGCCCTTGACAGGTGGCTCAGAGGCGGGTTTGGGTGTGAAGATCTGTGCCACAAACTCCTAGTTGTAATGACGGGAGAAACCCGTGGACGATGACAAGACAGTCCTTGGCTGAAAGTCACGCTGGAAGCTTTAGGAGGTACATGTGAAGTAATTCAGTCTTGAGTTCCTAATACTTCATTTTCTGGTATTTCATGTAAAAATTTTCGCAGAATTTTAAAGCTAAAAGGAACATCTTTAAAAACACTTTGGAGCCAGACAGAGGCAGGTTTGAATCCTGGCCTCAGCACCTTACAAAAGCTGTGTGGCTTTAGGTTAGGCCTCAGTTTTCCTCATCCGCAAAATGGGACGCATCATGGGACTAATGACCCCTGCCTGATAGGATGGCTGTGAAGATTAAATAAGATCATATAAATAAAATACCTTTCATGGTGTCTAGCACATGGAAAATATCCCCCAAATGGCAGCCATTATACACATTTCTTTGATTCAGGAAGATGTAGAACCTGGCAGGTCTCAAGTTCCTCTGTCAAAGGACAACCCATCTTCCCACGTCTCCTTTAAAACGGCTGACCTTAGCCATCTGGCTGGTGGGAGGAGGAGTGAGATAACGACACACTCGTCTCAACCTCTCACCCCTTTTCTCCCTGAAGCGTGTCAAGCAGGTAACGTTGTGGGGAGTCAGCAAGGGTCTCACCGAATCGGCCCACTGGCTCGGGAGCTCGTTCTCTCCTGCATAGGACATCCAGGCCTGGCTCCTGTAGGACGAGGGGGGCGTCGGGATGAAGTAGCCGGTGAAGCCCGGTCTGTTGGCAGCTGGGATGGCGAACACTGCGGGCACCGTATTGCCTGGCATGGAGGAGATGGATGGGAGAGATTAGGCCAGCACCCCACCCACTCAGCTGGCATTTGCACAAGCTGAGGAAGCTGGGAAACGGGGTGTGGGGGGAGGACGGGTCTGGCATTGGGGGAGTTGGTAATGGGGAGCAGCAGACCTCCGCCTGTAGCCTCAGCCTCGTTCACTGCCCAGTCAGTGTGAAAGGCCTGATCTGCCGACTCAGCCTGTCTTTCTAGAGAAATGATCGCTCAACTCCCCTGGCTGAGCCCTCACCAACTCCCCCACCCCCAGCCCAACACCTCAGACCTGCTGACAAAGGAAAGGGCACCTCCGTGTCCAGGTGTCGCCCTCCCAGGAGGAAGGGTATTTTTAAAGAGCCAAGAAAAGAAACCAAAAGCAATGGATTCCCCCCGGTGACATTTCTGGGCACAGTGAAAGCTTTAATAAGCGTTGATGACTGGGTGCTTGCAGGTTTAGCCTAAAAGGTAAGGTTTGAATAAACAAAACACCAATCAGGGCATGTATAGACCTCCACGCTCATTTCAACGTTGTTGGTAACAGCAAAAAACTGGACACAACCAATATGTCCCTCATTAGGGGAAAGGATCAACTGTGGCAGATCCTGTAAGCGCAGATCACATGGCAGTTTAAAGGAATGAACTAGATCTATGTGTCTCCAGCAACCTGGAGGCGAGGGGGGCTGAGTCAAGTGAACAAAGTGCAAAAGGAAATGTATAGCTTGATAGCGCTGGTGTAGATGTAAAATAGATTAAAGCATTCATATATGCCAGCCATTTTCAACCGGTGTGTTGCAACGGGTGTGCTATAAGAATGCTTAAAACAAGCAAAACCTGACTACTTAGGAGCACTGACCTCTTTTCCCTTAGATGGTCAAATTAAGAAATGACGACAGCCAGCACAAAAATAGCTGTCTGGTGCTAATGAGTCAAAATCAGCAAAATACGTTTTTTTGGTGTGCTGCAAAATTTTAGTCATTAGTTTGTGTGTGCCATGAGATGAAAAAAAAATTGCTGATATATACTGTTTTACACATACATATGTAGCAAAAGGTTAATACCCAGGGTTTAAGACTATGATTACCTCCGGGGAGAAGGGAATTTAGATGGAGATAGATCGTTGTATCTGTAATGCTTTTAAAAATATATCATTTTTAAAAACCTGAAATCTGGCAAAATGTTAACATATACCCTGACTGAAGCATATCTTAATATTTTGTCAGATTTCAGATGTTTTTGAAAAATAAAAGGAGTGGCTCTTGGATTCCTGAGGGCAGAGGTAGAAGGTGGAGTGTGGATGTCGGGGTGGAGGGGGGTGAGGCTGGGACCAGGGTCCGATGCAGGCTTTTCTTCTCTTGCCCACCTGAGTAATTTAAAGCTGACTGATCCAGCTGCGCCATGGACACGGGGCCTCTGGACACCTGGGTAAAGGAGGCGCTGTCGTGCAGATGGGCCGGCTCGGGCCCAGTGGACTCGGCCATCCTGGTCTTGCTGCCAACGTCGGAGGTGGACCTGGGCGGGCAGAGGGGCTACGTTAGCCGCTTCTGGACCATGGCTGGCTGGGCAGTCACCCTGGGGAACCCCAAATAACAAAGGGGGCCAACACGCCCAGACCGGTAACAGTCATCGTGGTGGCCCAAGCTGGAGACATTTTTATGTTTATTTTAAATATATTTTTATTGATTTCAGAGTAGAAGGGAGAGGGAGAGAAAGAAACATCAATGATGAGAGAGAATCATTGATCTGCTGCCTCCTGCATGCCCCACACTGGGGATCGAGCCCACAACCTGAGCATGTGCCCTGACTGGAAATCAAACTATGACCACCTGGTTCCGAGGTCGAAGGCTCAACCACCGAGCCATGCTGGCCGGGCGCTGGAGACATTATTAGATATTCAAGGTCAGTACCCCCTTGAGGGTGGCTCTTCTGTCTCTGGGGAGTTCAGTGCTTAATTTCTACATAAAATTAAACCAAGCAATTAGCGCTGAGTATTACCTGGGGATGGTCAACCTGGGAGGTGATGACATCATCGACAGCCAATGAGAAGGCTCCATCTGAAGTTCAAGGGTGCTCCCCCCTCCTGACACCAGGATGGGTGACTCAGAGGGCCCTGAGGACTAGTTACTGGCAGGAACAAGATGCCCAAGGCTCTGGGAAGCTCCAGGCACAGGAGCCGAGCACTCGGGCACTTCCTGGGCATTATGAATAGGAACACATTTTTTTTTTCTGTCCCAGGCAGGCAGAGAATCTGGCCCATTTCACACATCATATTTCCACCAAGTGCTCAGAAAGCAGAGAGGGCAGCCTGGGCTCAGGGGCCTCTCCCATTGTTATGAGGGTTAGCCTCTCCCATTGTTATGAGGGTTAGCCTCTCCCATTGTTATAAGGGTGCGTTAGCCATAGAGACGCCAGGCTGCCCTACAATTAACATGACAGGCAGGCAAAGGCAGCCACAGCAGGTGGCAGGCCGCCAGCCCTCAGGCCACCCTCTAAGCAGAGATCGAAACCTTTGGGTTTGTAGAGTGGGCGGTGACCTCCTATTTGGCAAGGATGGCAGACAGTGCGGAAGGACATGGGAGGAGACTGCTGGTTGACAGAAGAGATGAAATCGATGCTGGGCTTTGGCAAACGTATCACAAAGGGTGGATGTGGCGCTCCGCCCAGCCAGAACCCTGGGGAGTAACTGAGGGAGGGTGGCTGCTGGAGGCTCAGCAGTGTGAGGTGGGTCTCCCTTTCTTTCTCAATCCCTCCCTCCTTCTCTGGCCTGTTCACTCCCCAGCCCTGGCCTCCCTCATACTGTTCCCAGCATCTGCGACTCCTTCAGAAAACCCTTCCCAGCAGAATGCCTGCACCATACATTTGGTCTCCTTTAAGGAATCCCAGAGCCTCTGAGAACAGTTAGGGTATTGCTCTCATTTTACAGGTAAGGAACCAGGGACCAGAGGGGTGAAGCAGTTTGCCTGGAGTTACACAGCAGGTTACTGGCAAGTCAGATGGAACCCTGGTCTGCTGCTTCTCACCGGGCCCTGAGCTCGACCCTGAGCTGGGCTGGGGCCAAGGGGTGGGGTCTACACACAGCCAGGGATTCTAAACCGCTGGGATTGAGGGCAGGGTTGCTCCTGAGGGAAAGCCATTTTTCTTTACTGTTTTCACAAAATTCAAACCTGTGGTCCACAGATAGGGTGTGACTGGTGTGTTGGGAGAGGCTAGGGTTGGAAGGCCAGGGCAATGGCCAGTACATACTCCTAGGACCAATTGTTTCCGGCCTTTGTGTTTCTTGTCTATTTTTATTAAAAACACATGCTGCCCTGGCTGGTTTGGATTAGTGGTTAGAGTGTCAATCCACAGACTGAAGGGTGGTTCAATTCCCAATCAGGGGCATGTACCTGAGTTGCAAGTTCAATTCCTGGCTCTGGTTGGGGAGTGCAGGAGGCAACCAATCGATGTGTCTCTCTCGTATTGATGTTTCTCTCTCTCTCTCTCTCTCTCTCTCTCTCTCTCTCTCTCTCTCTCCCCCTCCCTTCCACTCTCTCTAAAAATCAATAGAAAAAACTATCCTTGTGGGAGGAACAACAACAACAAACGTGTGCCTTTTATATCACAGAGCAAAGTGAATATGCCTCGCAGTGGACATATCTGAGTTCATGTGCTTTCAGCCTCTCCCTCTTGGAAGTCACGAGTTGGGGTGAGCGCTGAGACACGCTGCTCCCTGGCCTCTGGGACACCACCCCTAATAACAAAGGGGCTTTTGGCTGTGCACACATGGCAGGAGGCAGCCAGCTGTGAGGCAGCTGCTGTGGTGGCCCCAGCTGGGGTAATTTTTACACGTTCGAGGTCAAAGACGGAGCTTTCGGGGCATGGGGCAATGACACTGGGGTTCTTCAACTGTGGGTTCTCCAGGACTTTCTATTTACAATGACAGGAAAGTCGGTTAACCTTCTATGTCCCCCACATCCTTCACGGTACTCAGGTACCCCAGGCACATGGCTGTCTGTATGGGTGATGCACCAGAATGGGGCACGGCATGAAGGAAATCTGTCAGCTTGGGGTACACAGGTCCAACTCCTTCCCAAATATTCTAAACAAAGCCTACACAGGAAAACATTACCGCCTGAGAGAAGCAACCGCTACAGGGCCAGTCCGCGGAGGTACAGGCGGAGGGGGAGAGCCCATGACCATTTCAGGAAGCTGGGAGAACCTGTAGGCCTGTGAAAGAAACAAGCAAAAAGAGGGAGATCTGTTAAAACCCAGGGCCAATCAACACACAGATTCTTTTTAAAATGGAAGCAAATGTCGGAGGGGCAGGCTTTTCTTCCTTCCTCAAACTCCCCCCTTAAGATATTCCTTACAATGTTCCCCAGCCCCCTCTTCTATCTCATCTCCTATCACTGTCCCCTTTGCTTAGGCCACTGTGGTCACAGAGTCCTTCAATTGTTCTTTGCAAAGGTGTTCTTGGCAACTGAATACTCCCAGTTCTTTCCCGCCTGGGCTTTTGTACGTGTTGCTCCTTCTCCCTGGTGTGCTTTTAATGTTGCCTGTTTATTTATTATCTGCCACCAACCTAGAGTGTAATGAGGGCAGGGACTTTGTTGCCAGCTAGCTTCTTGAGCCTGGAACAATGCCTGGTATATCAAAGACAATCCATAAATATTGGATGAACGAGCCAGTGATTGCATTTTACTTTCTCACTCATGGAAATGAGGTTTAATCAGAGAAAGCAATGGGCTTGGAATCAGGAGGTATGGGTGGAGGGCCTAGTTTGCTGATGAATAGACTTTATGTCCCTAAGCAAGACAGGTGATCTCTCTGGGCCTCAGTGTCCTCTTTTGAAATGGAGAAAAGACGCCTTGCTCAGAGGGGTACTGCGAAAATCAGGCAAGTGAGTGTATGTGTGAAGTATTTTGCAGTCTATAAAGCACTATTCAAAGATAAATGACTGGAACTGTCACCAAAGTGAAGACTTTAATCAACACTTGAGGGAATAAGAGGACAACGTCAGTGACAGGATCAGAGAGCCAGGCCACAGCCTTCTTAGCAAGAGCAAATCTAGAAATGCTCTCTGGGGAGACAGAGCTTAACTTGTGCTTCTCATTCATCTTTTTCCTTAGGTACCATGGCCTGCCAGATCTCTCGACGACCAGATGACAAGATTAAATTGAAGGCATCAGGACCAAAAGCAGCAGTAGAGGGAATCTTTTAAACAGAATGAGTCTCCTCCCTTCAGCATTATGGCAGATTGTATACTCACTAGGGCTAATCCACTAAATAACAACCTGATCCTGGATAAAACATACCTTTAAAGCACAGCGGCAATTGCAAGATGTAAGAGGCATCTCAAGGACTCCACTCCACCTTTCGTTTTTGCTTACTCCTCACTATTTACAGGTCTGGTTTCAGCTCATGGTTCTATTTTAGTTTGCTGAGGTGTGTGTGTCGGGGGAGGGGGGTACCCTGGTGAATTTGGCTCTTCACTCACCTGCACGATGACAGCTGGGGACTTCCCTGAACCCTTAAGTTTTGCTGAGAATTTGAAAATCATTGTCCTGGATGTCCTTCCCGCTTTGCGATCCATTATCATCAATAAACCAACAAGTAAGGACATACCTTTCCCAAAAGAGCGAAAGGGGTTGATAGTCCCTCTTCTCTCTTCTGGCCGCTCACAACCAGTAGAGGAGACAGGCAACCTATTTTTGTCCCTGGTTCTTGGAAGGCTTGTTCTCTAGTCAATACAGTTTCCAGCCAAGAAAAAGCTTTCTATGGCCATGGCTGTCCTGTACCAGTTCACCAGGAGAATTGATGAAAAGTTCTGAACTTTGGACAAGTACTAAGGGAATTCCCTGCTTTGGAAAGAAGTATCCAGGTTCACAGCAAGACCGTAGAAGAGATCAGAGCCCCCTTTGGGCTGTATCCTCAGGGCCTCAAACAGGCAACCTGGGTCCTGGGTCCTGCGTCCCACATAGCGTCTTCCTACATGCCCTCTGTGCAAGTCCCCCGTGGTTCAAAGTCCTCTAGGCTCTCATACTGGCTTCCCGTCTCATGTATTTGGAACCTGGCTCCCTGCTGGCTGCTTCGTGACTGGGATCCCATTGGAAGCTATTGCTCAAAACTGTTGCCTGGTTCCAAGTTTCATGATGTTGGCACAGGTTGCCCAGCTTGGTGACCAAGGACACCTTTTCTTGGAATCTCTGCCCTCTCCTAGGAAGGAGCTCAGAGATCCAGGACTCAAGGCAGCCTTTGTAAATAGGTCTTAGATCTTCGAGGTGGAAGGAGCCTGGGTATGACTAGAGTCAGACACTCTGGGACCGGAAGCTTGGTTGTAAAGTAGAGGGAAAGAAGGTGCACAGTCTGCTCCAAGTCTCAGTCCTGATGCCCCTGGGGGGGGGGGTAGGGGTCAAGGCCAACCCCTCTAGCAATCCCAGTAGAGCAGCAGTTCTCAACCTGTGGGTCGCAACCCTTTTGGGGGTCAAACGACCCTTTCACAGGGGTCACCTAAGACCATCGGAAAACACATATATAATTACACATTGTTTTTGTGATTAATCACTATGCTTTAATTATGTTCAATTTGTAACAATGAAATTGGGGGTCACCACAACATGAAGAACTGTATTAAAGGGTCACGGCATTAAGAAGGTTGAGAACCACTGCAGTAGAGAGTGAGTCCAGGTGAGACACACCTGTGCTGGTCCCTCCTGTGCATGTGCATGCATCCAGGAAGAGGAATCTGGTCAAGAGCAACGTCAAGGGTAGCACTATAGTGGTAATAGTCAAAGGGGGCGGCCTGTGGCTAGAGGAACAGGCCAGAAGGTCTCAGGCTTTTCCTTAGTGGGGGGAGGAGCACGGACAGGCCAACGCCAACCCACCCTCATTGGAGGCCCTTGTCCAGTTCAGAGTGGATGTGCCAATCTTTTCCATACCTGTTGACAACACTGAGTTTCACCTCATGGTACCCCTTCCACTGCATTGTGCTGACCCTGAGAATACTGCGCCAGGCAGAACAGGTGTTCACCGAAAGCCACACGCAGCTATAAATAACTTTACACCCTGGTAGTTCCGTCAGTTCACAAGAGCTACTGATAGAATATCTGAGGCTTCCAAGGCCTTGGCAGACATAGAAGGTTCAAGTGGAAAGAGAGCAGGAGACACTGAGACCACACCCCTTACCTTAACAGAAGGGATACTGAACCCCAGAGAAGTAAACTGTCTCGTCAAAATCACACAGCCAGTTCAGGGCGCTGTCCTGCAATTCTGAGCTAAGGTGGCATGTACAGCGGCACGAGTTTGGAGTCAAAGATGGGCTTGAATCCTGCTTTGATCCTTACCAGCTGTTTGACCTTGAGCAACTCACCTTCTCATTAGGTGATGAAGGTACTAGTATCAAATCTCCATTTCAAAGGCTGTTTGAAAGACTCATTTCACATGTTATAGTAGGTACTCGATAAGTGATATTCCCTTCCTTCTGAGACAGGATTTTTTAAAAAAATATATTTTATTGGTTTTTTTACAGAGAGGAAGGGAGAGGGATAGAGAGTTAGAAACATCGATGAGAGAAACATCGATCAGCTGCCTCCTGCACAGCCCCTACTGGGGATGTGCCCGCAACCAAGGTACATGTCCTTGACCGGAATCAAACCTGGGACTCCTCAGTCCACAGGCCAACGCTCTAGCGTAGCCACTGAGCCAAACTGGTCAGGGCAGGATTTTTAAAAAATATATTTTTATTGATTTCAGAGAGGAAGGAAGAGGGACAGAGATATAGAAACATCCATGATGAGAGAGAATCATGGATCGGCTGCCTCCTGCAAGTCCCCCACTGGGGATCGAGCCCACAACCCGGTCATGTGCCCGAAATCGAACCTGGGACCTTTCAGTTTGCAGGCCGACGCTCTAGCCACTGAGCTAAACCGGCTAAGCTGAGACAGGATATTTTGATATAGTAATTGTAGCAACTAAGGTCCTCCCCCCCCCCCCACACACACACAATTCTTAAATCCAGGGCTCTTCCCCTGCCCCAAGCAGTGAGGGCATACCATCTTTCTGCCCAGGGAAGGCCACAGCCAATGAAGATGGTCTAAGAGCCAGTTCCTATTGGTATTTCAAAAGCCAGAGCTATTGAACTGCAAGAGTTTAGGATTCTATCAAAAATCTAAGCCCCAAAGTGCTCAAGGTCTAAGGTTGATGCCCAAACAAGAGACTTGGAAGAAGTGAGGTACATTTAGACTACTCTGCCCCTAGATTAGGTAAACACCCTTCGGTTAGATGAGAGGAGAGTTAGAAGGAAGCAAGGGAGCTTAGATGCTGATGGGTCTGATGAAGGGGCTGTGTGTCCTGCCTCGCTCTGGAGGGAGGGGCAAGGGAGGGGGAGGAGAGGACACAAATACCATAGCAATGTTTGGAATCTCAAAGACAAGGGACCTGTACGCACTTTTAGGAAAGCCCAGGAACCAGCAGCAGCACAGAACTCACAGAATTCCCCCCTCCCCCAGAACACATGAGCATGGGAGGAAGAAATGGAGAGGTCTGGAGAGAGCTTATTAGCAGGAGGACCAGGGCACAGCTGTGTTCTACCTGGACTTCTGCCTGGAGACTAGCGGAAACAAGGACTTCTCAGGGACACCAGCCAGAGCATGAGATGAGGACAAACTGGGGCCCGATACTGAAGCCTTCTCCCCACCCCCTCAGCATGGTTTGGAACCCCAACCCCAATAAGCTTAACCCAGGGATATGGAGGGAGACTGCCCTGACGGACAGTAAGCTTCTGGCATGTGGAGAAGATAACATAAAAATATCGAAGGTTATGTGTCTTACACACCCGAGTTTGTGGGCTGAAATAAGTATTCTCCGGACCTCCTCTCTCCCTCCTTCTCTCTCCCCACGGAGCCCTCCTGTGTAGACTAAGGGTCTTTATTCGCACGAATGATGTTTCTACACTCAGAGGGGCATGCATTTGCCAGATGTTGGGTGCTCAGTTGGTTTTCAAAAGGAATTTCTCAAGGCAGTCCAGAGGCAAAGATCCCTTGCTCAGGCTGGCCCGGGAATGACAGTGACCCACCTTCAAGGACTCCCGAGTTGGGACAATGCCCCATGAGAGCCACCCTGGGGAGGACCCTCTCCTGATGATCCAACTCCATCAAACCACCAATGACTTTGGTGTAACCAGAGGTGAAGGGAACTCAGTAACAACTGACATTGAATTTCCCACCCACCAGGGCAGATGGGAACTCAGGACAGATTCACATTTGATTTGGAGAAACACGAGAAATGTAACATTTTTTGAACACAAGAAATGTTCTTTATATCTCACCATAAGCAAAGGTTTGGGAGGGGTCTTTTTATTTTGTTCTGTTTTTGAGGGGAGAGGAGGAAAAAAGAATGTACAATTCTCAATTTCATCCCAATAGACATGTCTTCCTTACAAGGGGCAATGAAAGGAATGGACAAAATCCCCTCCAACTGGGTACGCTTCCTTATGAGAAGATCACACTGAAGTTTTGGAGATTCGAGTTCTCATCGGAGCCTGGAGGGCATCCCTATGACCGGCCTGGCCACAGGGTGGAAAGAGAGTGGGCCTTGACGTTAGACAGCTCGAGGTCCTAACCCCAGTTCTTCCCTTTCTAGCTGTGTAACCTTGGCCAGTTTCTTTACTTCTCCAAGCCTCAGTTTCTTCATTGAGTAATACTACTGACCTCATAGGGTGGTTGTTCGATGATAATAAGTAATGTCGACACAGCACTTAGCTCAGTGTCAGGTACACAGGGAGCTCAATAGATGGCAACTGCTATTATTATTATTATTATTATCATCATCATCATCATTACTATTGTCAGTTCCATCTGTAAAGCCTCTAGTAATTGTAGAGGGGGATGCCTTCACCTGCTACCTTTCATGGAAACCCCTTCTCAGACACCCAAGGAAGGCTGAGGATGTTCTCCCTCCCCTTGGCACAGACCCATTAGCCAAAGTCGATTGGTCATTAGGTGTCGAATCCAGTTTCTTCAGAGACTTAAGGGGTAAAATATGGTCAAGAGTCTCCTAAAATGCAGGGCAGAAAGAAATCCCACGCTGCCAGCAGTCACCTTTTCCACGATATAAATGCCATCAGCGTGACCCTGTGCATTTAAAACCACCAGCCTCCAATTATCCTCCGGCAGAGCGAGAGCCCTTGCTTTTGGGAAGCTGAAAAGTAATCACCGTTATCCTTCTAAATTGCCATCTTTCCTATTGATTTCCTCATTACCATAGCGCAAGGGGGCTCCACAAGAACTTGGGTTAAGAACCATCATTTTGACTTGTAGGCTATTGTGCATTGTAGGCTGTTTTCTCCTTTCATGAAAATAGGGGCCACATGTGCTGTTAGCAAAAAAAAAAAAAAAAAAAAAAAAAAAAAAAAAAAAGAAAACCTTAATAACAAAAGAACTGCCTTTGATATCCTATGGGTTGGATGGCCTTCCTCTCTGTTGTGTTATTTCTCAAGCCTTTTCCTTTTTTTTTTTTCAGTGTTGTCATTTTTAAAGTATATCATGCTGATGTTTTTGCCCTTCTTGGCACAACTGCCAACCCCATATTATGACAAAGGGAACCATCTAAGTGTTTATATGTCCCACCATGAAATTTTTAGAAGATTTTGTTAAATCGAGCATAACGGATGTGGTCTGTGGCATCTTCTTGGCCGCCATTGGTTTTAAGGCTCATCCTGTTGATTAAGCTTTTCTCTCTGAAACCCAGATCTCTGCATGGACTCCCAGAATCTGGCCTCCAGCCAAAGGGGTCCCGCTGTTCTTGAGAATCATCTTTAGACATAAGTGCAGCTTCTCTGGAACTCTGAGTTGGGGCACCCAGAGCATGCGCTGAAAGGAATTTCACAGAATCGGAGGAGAAGACGTCATCTCAGAACTGTCGGGGGAAAGGGATATAACTAGTAGGACTCACTGCAAAGGAGAGGATATTTTTTATATTAATGACTAGCATTTATCGAGAAATTCAATGTGCTAGGAACCATGTAAAGCACTTTAATTAATACCGGCAAATGACTACTGGATGCTGACTAGGTGCCGGGACTGTGCTAAGCACGATACCTGGATTTCACCCTCCCTGCAGCCCTCTTGTCCTCACCACTTAATGACTGAGGAATCTGAGGCTCAGAGTTGTGGTCACTGGCTAAGGTCAGTCAGCTGGAGAGTGCCATTCTACTCTGGACTGGGGGGGAATCCTGGGACATGGAGCTCGGGAGGATGAACCAATGAAACCGAAGTCAGTGTGAATCACTATAGAATGGGTACAGGTAACTTTTCTCAGGGGACAGACACTTAAGAGGTAATATATACAGGGTGGGGCAAATGGACAAAACAGAAATTCTGTACCTGCAAAGATGATGACCTCACCCAAGTATAGCCTCAGAGGTTCAGTTTCAAATAAACTTTGGTCTCTCCTGCTAATGCTTAATCAACAGGGAAAGGTTAGGCTGGAGAATGACATGCTAGGAATGACATGCTAACATGTTTGATGGTTTCACAAGGCTCTACAAGTCCACAGGCTACAGAAAATGAGAGAAGTGATATGAATGGCATTGTAACACAGCACGAGGCAGAAAAACACGCTGGTTAAGAATATGGGCTCTGGCGCCATACTGCCTGGCCTTGGGCCCTGGCTCTGTCCCTTTCCGGCTGTGTGACTTGAACAAACTGTAATCTCAGTTTCTTCATCTGTAAAATAGGGATAAAACTAGTACCTGTGTCAGAGGCTTGTAGTATAAACTAAAGAAATGCGCTAACACACACATGACACCTAGATCAGGACCTCGCAACAGTGAAACCCAACAAATGTTAGCTTTTATTATGTAATTACATGTCACTATGACGATTTATAAACTCTATTAATGAGTAATCCTTGGGGATAGGCCATGAAATATTACAAAGGAGGAATCTATACATGTACAAGGCATCATCTATTATGGTGTATGGCTTATAAAACTAAGTCTTTTTTTAAATAAAAAGATATGTGTAGATACTATGATAATGAACACAATGCAAACGAATTAAAATTGTTGTTTATTCATGGAAGCTTTGGTCATTGGGTGCTTTCTCAGCTACTGAAATGCAGTTACCAAATAATGAAATAAACATGACTGACACTTCTATAGCGTTTACTGTGTGCCTGCATTCTTCTAGTATCTGGTATATATCAACTGGTTTACTCTTCACAATAACCCTAGGAAGTAGGTTATTTTCATTTGCTGATTTCATCTGTAGAGAACTTAAGTGACATCCCCAAGTGACAAAGCCAGTGAGTGGTAGAGCTGGGATTCAGAGTCCAGCCCCCTGCCTCCAGAGCGTCTGCTCTGACTCACCAGGCTACACGGACCCCTAACATGCAGCTCTGCGATGCGTTTGGACATTTAAAATGGGTCCTCACACTTGGAAATGTAGGAAACCATCAGTGCACGAAGAATGAGGTCAGCCCTTCACAGGTGGGACAATAGCGAAGGAAGGTCTTCCCAAAGTGTATTACAGTTGGATATAAGGGCGGGTATGTCCAGAGGACTCAAAGGCTTAGGCCTGGACCATGGGTGGAGGACAGGATGAGAGCCCAGCAAAGTCCCATCTCCAAATTCCAAGGTGACTTATCACTAGACGCCCCCCCTCGGAGACCCCTGTTGGAACACCCGGGGCAGGACTGACCTGGTAATAGCCGGCGGGCAGGATGTCTGACTTACCGGCCGGGGCAGACTGTACTGGTACATTTCTGGGCGGTAGGTCGGCACCCACTGCACCCCAGCTCTGGGCCGCGTCATGGTCCCCGGGGCGCTGGTCACCACCTCCGAGTAGGGCAGGTGCTGTGTTGAGCCGTAGGCCTCCTGGTGCCGGCTTTGGCCTGCGTGCCCCGCGGACGCTAGGCTGAAGGCCTCCTCCAGCAGCATGTGCATCTGCTGCCGGACCTCGTCGATGGAGGGCTGGGAGCTCAGCGTGGACGTCTCAGAGTGGCCCTTCACCTGCCGCGACCTGGCGTAGCCCCGCGGCTCGTTAACTCTGTCAATGTTGGTTTCCTCTATGATTTCAGGCTCAGTCTGTGGGATCAAACAAATGCCCACGGATTTGTTAGTTCACTTTCCTTTTCATTAATGCTGCCTGTAACGTGCTCTAAACTGTCCAGCTTGGACCGGTGATATCAGGCATGTGTGCCCTATCCAGGAATTCACATGATGGGTAGTCAGCTATCATTGCATCGGTGAGGCCACACTCAGCTATCCCTGTGCACTTCACTTATCCAGAGCTCGAGCAGTGCCACGGCTTTACTAATGAGCATAATGACCATGAGAAATGGCTTTTCATTGACGACATGAATGGTATTCTCTAAAACCTTTTAGAGACATTCTCTGCCCCCATGCCTGTTAGGTACAAGAATCTAGAGCATTCTGCAGTCTATACTCCAAGGGTTGTCACTTTAGATTCTAGACTAACTCTTTGAATGGTCCTGGGTCCAGCCATTGGTTAGCAAATTGCTGGCTGCCTGATGCCAATTTCAGAAAGAATAATAAAACCTGCCTCTAGATCACCAATGTCAAGGTGTGCACACTGAATCAGAAGCTCTGGGGGCAGAACACAGCATCTGTACCTTAACAAACCCACCCAGAGATCCTGATGCCTGGTGAAGTTTGAGATGCAGGATCTAGAATGTTCTCCTGCTTTTCTCCAGGGAACCTTTCATTTAGGGAGTAGCCATGGTATCTACATGGGCAGAGAGCTAGGACTTTATCAGCTTCCAGAACAGGCTGCATGGACTATCTTGTGTTTGCCTGTCAATGAATGCTTATTTTTATGGATGGTTGATTTTTATTTAATGGTTGATTTTTTTTACAGAGAGAGAAGGGAGGGAGGAAGAGACAGACAGATAGACATCAATCTTTGTTGTTCCACTTATTTATGCATTCATTGGTTGATTCTTGTATGTGCCCTGACTGGGGATCGAACCCACAACCTTGGTGTATGGGAATGATGCTCTAAACAACTGAGCTACTCGGCCTGGATTGTGGGTGGAGGCTGTTAATGAATGCTCATTTAACAAGTCTTCATTTGTGGCAGATTTTGGTCTGAGACTGGTGAGGCTCTGGGAGAGTAGTTAATCCACAACCATTCCAAGTGTGCCTGTGGATACCATCGTGGATGATCATAGGATAGCTTATGAAAAATCCCAAATTGGGAAAGAGGTTGTAGCATCTGAGAAAGAGAAAAGTGGACTGTTATGGGCTGAACTGTGTGCCCCCCCCCCCCCCCAAATTCATATGGTGAAGTCCTAACCACCAGCACCTTAGAATGTGACTGCATTGGGAGACAGGGTCTTCACAAGGTAACTAAGTTAAAATGAGGTCATCAGTATGGCCTAATTCAGAATGATCTCTAAGAGGAAATTCAGACAGAGACATATGAAGAGGGAAGGCAGTGTAAAAACAGGGAGATCGCGGCCATCCATAGGCCAAGGAGAGAGGCCTAGAACACACCTTCCCTCATGGCCCTCAGGAGGAACCAATCTGCCAGCACAACATTGACTTGACTTCAGACTTCCAGCCTCCAGAACTGTGAGAAAATAGGTTTCAGTTGTTTTCATTGTCAGGTTTGTATTACTCTGGTACAGCAGCCCGAGCTGATGAACACATGGACCATGTGGCTGAAGCCCTGGCTGTCAGGAGATGGGGCTGGAGAGGCAGGCAGGGGCCCGATTACAGACCGTCTTAAAAGCCATGGCCAGAAGGTTCAACTGTTTTCAAAGGGCAGTGGAAATCTCTGGAAGAATTTTGAGCAGAGGAGAAGTGTAATTGAAATTCATGGGAGGTCAGTGAGAAGAGATGGCAGGGTCTTGGGTGAGATGGACACGGACAAAGATGTGGGTGAGTTCACAATATATTTTGGAAGAGTGTTGACATGATTCAGTAGATGAGGTTAGATGAGGTGTGGGGATGAAGTAAAAAAAGGAGTCAAGGCTGAGACCCTTTATTGAGAACAGGTATCTTGCTACAATGGGTCTCCTAATGTTCTCTGAGCTCCCCAAGCATAGGTCTTCCTCTGGGCCTTTCCACTTGCAGTTCCCTCTGCCAGGAATGTTTTTCCCCCCGAGGGTCAGCCTGGCTGGCTCCCTCCTTATAGGTCTCTGCTCAAAAGTCATTTCCCCAGAGAGCCCTACCCTGGCCGACCTGTGAAGAGCACCTCCTGTTATTCTCCACCGCCTTGCCTTGCTTTGTGCTCCTCTATGGCATTTCTGACATTGCAGAATATAGCAATGTGTCCACATGTTTATTATCTGTCCCCTTACTGGAATATAAATTCCACGAAGACAGGGATTTTGTCATGTTTCCTGTTGTATCTCAGAATGGCAAATACCAGGAATTTAAGAAATCAGCTGATCAATGGTTCTCTCTCATCATTGGTGCTTCTATCTCTCTCTCCCTCTCTGAAATCAGTAAAAATACTTTTAAAAAATACAGCCTGGAGAATTTCTGCTCAAAAGTCTTCAATAGTAAAAGACGTTTATATGTGTCTAAAATGAATGAGACAATTTTATTTAAAACTAGAGACCTGGTGCATGAATTCGTGCACCAGTGGGTTCCTCGGCCTGGCCTGTGGGATCGCACCAAAACCAGCTCTCCAACATCCCCCAAGGGGTCCCAGATTGCCAGAGGGTGTAGGCCAGGATGAGGGATCCCACCAGTGCACGATACGGGCTGGGAGGGATGCAGGAGGTTGGCCAGCTGGGGAGGGACTGCAGGAGGTCTCCAGGGCATGTCCGGCCTGTCTCGCTCAGTCCCGATCTGCCGGACCCCAGCAGCAAACTAACCTACCAGTCGACTGTCTGCCCTCTGGTGGTTAGTGCACATCACAGCAAGTGGTTGAGCGACCTTAGCATATCATTAGCATATTACACTTTGATTGGTTGAATGGACGACCGGACACTTAGCATATTAGGCTTTTATTATATAGGATGGAGTTAAAGAGGAGGAATGAAGGACTCTTAAAGCCATGTATTCTAGAATTTCTTGAGTTATGAGCTCCAAAGTAGATCGATGTCTTACACAGTCCTCCTTTCCAGGATACACACGTGTGTGCAGTATCACGTTGCTTCACCCAGGCACTTCATTTCTGAAGCACAAGAATTTGAAGGCTCTCTCCAAAATGTGCCTCAAGGCAGTGATTTTCAGCTCAGTGTCAACCACAGTTTCACCCAGCAAGGAGAACAGATTCTGAACAAACTCCGCCACTTCACGGCAAAGGCCAAGTAGGGGTTTCAGCGAGATAGATTTCTGGCCCATCTGGCCATGATGGATGGCTCTGGCTCCAGGCCCATTTTTCTCCCCAACAAATAAGGCCCTTTGGGCAACATAAAACAGTGCTGCTTCTCTGCCTTGAATGCCCGCTCGGGCTGCTTAACAGCCTCCTGGCAAGTGCTGCCTGTCACTGGGAAAGCAGAGACATATTTACAAAGCTGCTTTGGAAACCAAGCTTCAGGGAGTCTCCACTTCCTCTGTAGGGAGAGGAGCTCTCAGGGCACCGGGGTACTCAGCAGTTCCTCCCGAGCCTGCATCTCAAAGCTTCTCTGACAATAAACGGAAACTGCTTCTCAGAACAGGGAGGAGGCCAACTTCCCTTCCGCCACAAGTGTGCAAATGGAATTTTAAAAACTCTCAGGAAAATTTCTAATTTCACTCTGATTGCTTTCCAAAGGATGACCCACAACCACTTTGAAGCTAGAAGGACGTGAAAGCAGCACGCTGTTTCTGCATCTTGGTGAGGGGAAATGACATTACAGGGTCTCTCGTAGATTTCTAAGCAGAGGGGCACTTTTTATCACACTGAGATTAGGGGGTGGACAGTCAAGAGTAAAAGAACGTGTTTCCATGTCCTCGGCAAGTGGACAAGTCTCAGCATTACTCACTGCTCCCAAAGCAAACCTTCTCCATCCTGCAGGAGGAGCATAAGGCTCCGTCCTCTTGTCTGTCCCCCTTAGCCTGCCGCCCTCCACAGAGCGGTGGGAACTCAATTACGGAGCAAGTCCCCACGCCCCATTTAACTTAAGTTACAATGACTGGCTGTCCTGTGTGACCTTAGCGATCACCTTTGGCAGTGTGGCCAGTGTGGGGGCAATGGGGGGAAGGTCTTGGCACACTTTGCAGAGCCCTCTGTAGTCCCATCATGCTGGAGAAAGGCACCAGTTGAAAAATACAATCCTCTCTTTGGCGCGAGACAAAATTCATATCAGTTCTGAGATGTCTAAAGTGTTAGAATGGAAAAGAAACAAAAAAATGTGCATCCCTCTCTCTCCCCCATGGATTCTGTTAGCCAGAGTGTGACAGCTCATTTAATTCTCACAAGGACTCTATAAGCAGGTACCATTTGTATCTCCACTTTACAGATGGGAAAGTAAAGTGCAGAAGGTGAAGTAACTAGCCCAAATTCACACTGCTATACTGAGCTGGAACTTGAACGCAGCCTAGCTCCAGAGGCTAGGAGCACAACTGTCCCATAGTAATTCTGTGAACGCTGAGAATAACCTATGAGCCACTGTGCATTGATTAAAAACACCTTTTAAAAAGGAATCAACCTAAAAGTAAACACAAAAGAGTGGCTTCTTTCGTGGGAAGCTATTTTGCTTCTTGGTTTTGAGGCGAGTCATCACCTGCTTTTCCTTGTCTTCTTAGCTGAGTGGGCACTGCAGGTGGCTGGAGACAGAGGGTCAACCTTGAGCGTCAGCACTGCTCCATAACCAAACAGCCTCTCCCACCGCCAACTCCCACCTGCTTTTTCTCCTTTTGAAAAATCCACAGACTCACAGAACCCCTCTCTGCCATTCTCTCTGCCTCTGAAACACAATCTCTAACTTCAGCCAGGGCTTCCCAAGCCCCCGGGAACAGTGGTCATTGGCTCATCACCACGCTGATCCTTCCCTTTACGGAGGGAGGGTCGACCCAAGATGAGAGGCTGAAATGGAGGGAGGACTGACAAGGAGGATTATGTGGTTTTGCCCCTTAAAAAGCCCAACCACCAATGTTCTTCAAGTACGGGGCCCTGTGGATGGCCC